ATTATGAAGCATGCGATCATTCATTAGCATCATCAATTAATTTTTAATTTTTAATAATTAAACAAATGATAATTTCATTGTTAAATTTTATCATCTGTTCATTTATTTGAAACTGCGCTACAGCTTCCTACACATGCATGGCTTTCTGATAATAGTTCATTCCCATTATCGTCGTAGAGTAGCTGAGCACCCATCGTCTCTACTTCTTATCTGCTGCCTTGCGAGACCTGAAGGCTGGACTGACGACAGAGACGGCGAGCTTGGATGAATCACTATGGGCGCGCGTGCGCGACAAGTACACGCAGAGATGCTCAGCATCCTCGCTTTCATCGACGACATGGGGCAGAGGCTGCGGCGACCCCTTTCCCCGCGCTCCCGTTAGTCAACCGGACCTTGATGCAGACTGGCGATTGGCCGCCCTCGAAGCAGAGATCCTGCGAGCGAGAGCAATTGAGATAGCACTGGCCATCGCGGGCCATCGCAGCGTGGTAACACCGTGCCGTGCGGGTGGCTTGAATAGTGATTTCGCAAACGAACAACACGTGGCAGTTATTAACTCACGCTGACGAAGTCAGATGCAGCTCTTAGAATCGCATAAATGTCCGTTGTGCGTGCGTTGGCACGTCCCGTCCGTGTGTCAACAGTTGGCACACAAAATCTTAACCGTCGACGTACCGGTTTTGATATTCGAGGACGTTGGTGGGGCGGGGGCGCGATTCGCGAAAGACTTCAGGATTTTTATTTTTTGTTTTCCGGAAAATTTTTGGGGGCTGGTCACATGCGTCAAACGCGTCACAATGATGTAAATGGAGCGGCGGAATATGTTCCCCTTAACTTTAAGGTATTATGGGAGGAAAAATACCGCGAATCTGCGCCAAACTCTCAACGCTTGACCTACGCTCTAATATAATTGATTGTATAACTGTGATGGGAGGACGACTCCATCACCCAAGCGGCGAAAATTGAGATGTCAAAGGGCAGGGGGAAAGGTCAGATATCAGATCATTTTCTGAGGACATGCGCTCTAACGGACGGATGTGCAAACTTTTTGTTTCAGCCACTGACCTTAGGCTACCGTTTTTATCACTTTAATGAAAGCGACTAGTATTACTTTCACGCTGACGTGCAAGAGTAAGGTCGATACCTTTCGACCTCAAGAGGAGGGTTAACATGAGATTTTTTGACTGCTAACAAAAGGGACTGAACTGCTTTGCTAGTTAGAGCTCCCTCCACTCGCCTTGAGGGATATGCGTATTCTCATGCTGGAGAGCGCACGTGCGCACATGCTGCGTGCGCGTGGCGTGCGTGGTGGTGGTGTGTGCGTGCGTGCGTGCATGTGTGTGGTGGTGTGCCTGTGTGTACATGTATTGTGCCGGCTGCTTCCACTTGGGTTTGCGTGCGTGCTGAGTGCGGTGCGTGGCTGCGCGAGGCCGTGCGTGCGTGCGTGAGTGAATAGTGTGCTGTGTGTGGGTGTGTGTGTGTGTGTGTGTGTTTGTCGTGTGTGTGGTGGTGTGGTGTGTGTGTGGTGTGTGTGTGTCGTGCGTGTGTGTGGCATACGTGGTTTTGTTGCTGCGTTCGCAGTAACTACACTTCGATGCCAATCTAGTCTATCAGTTGCAACACGTAGGCGACTGGTATATATACGCAATATTCCCACTGGCCACATCATCTTGCAGGACTGCTTCGCAGCTCGGTAAGAGTTCAGCTGTCGAGGGTCGCCCGCGGCGACGCCTCGCGACGAACGTCGACTCGCTGCGCTCGGGTGGTCTGGCGCCTCCCCCTGCCTGACGCACGCCTATCAGGCTGGCAGTGCGACCTCATCAGCATGCAGCCGGCGTTCAAGCGCGAGCTGTTCGGCAATCCGATGAAGCGATTCACGCCGATCGCGAGACCTCTAACGTGAGAGTACGAGGGGATCTCGTGAGCGGTGTCGTTAGTAACTACAGCGTGCCCCCGTGAGGAGTGATGTGCAAGTGGCGGCTGACGTTTTTATTCAAGGTGTGAGGCTTGGCTGAAAACGGGAGCGGCGTGAGTATGAGTGGGCGGCAACGGACCGGTCCGTTAAGTACTAAAACACACGTCGCAGAGAGTGTGTGGCAAGCTGGCAGCTGACAGTTTATCAGAGTGTAGGCTTGTCCGGAAAACGTTCTGAGCGGATCGTGAGTCATTGAGTGGCGGCAACGCACGTTCGTGGTCTGTTAGTACTACACCAACGGTCGCGCGTGACCTGTGTGCAAGGTGGCAGTCCTGAAGCTTATCAATGGGTTAGGTAGAGGTAAGGAACACGGTAGCGGTGTGTTCGGGTCTGTTAAAACGGTTTTTTGTCTAAGGAAAAAGTAGAGCAGATAGACACTTTCCTACCAACACTTTTGCTGCCTAAGCAAGGCAGTACGTAGCAATCAGTTATGGACTAGAGATAGGGAGTGAACAACGGATATGCTGAAACTGTACATTAGAAGTCTACATGGCAGCCTGTCTACCTGTGGTGTCGTAATTCAGATCATCGAGAATTATATGTACGTGTGTGTGTGTGTGTGTGTGTGTGTGTGTGTGTGTGTGTGTGTGTGCGTGCGCGTGCGCGTGTGTGTGCATACGTGCGTTTGTGTGCGTGTCGGCAGTAACTACACTTCGATGGCCCATCTATCTATCAGTGCACACACGTAGGTACGCATATCCCACTGCCACCGTCCATCTTGCAGGAATGCTTCAGCATGCTCGGTAAGAGTCAGCTGTCGGTCGCCCGCGGCGACGCCGCCGACAACGTCGACTCGCTGCGCTACGGGTGGCGCCTCCTGCTGACGCACGCGTACAGGCTGCAGTGCGACCTCATCAGCATGCAGCCGGCGTTCAAGCGCGAGCTGCTCGGCAACGTGAAGCGATTCACGACCGACTGCGAGACCTTCTACGTGGAGTACGAGCGGGTGAGCGGGTCGATCGTTAGTACTAACAACGTGCGTGAGAGTGAGTGTGTGCAAGTGGCGCTGACAGTTTTATCAAGGTGTAGGCTTGGTGAAAACGGTGAGCGGGTGAGTATGAGTGGGGCAACGACGGTCGTTAGTACTAACAACGTGCGTGAGAGTGTGTGCAAGTGGCGCTGACAGCTTATCAATGTGTAGGTAGAGGTAGGAACAGGTAGGCGGTGTGTCGGCTGTTAACGGTTGTTTTGTCTGAAGGAAAAAGTAGGAGCAGATAGGAACTTTCCTACCAACTTTGCTAAGAAGGGCAGTAGAGCATCAGTTATGGCTAGAGATGGGAGTGAAAACGGATATGCTAAAACTGTACATTAGAAGTTACATGGAGCTGTGGTGTCGTAATCAGGATCATCGAAGCTTCAGTCTGTAAAAGATGTTGTTCGCTTTTACATCCATGCAAGTATGGCAGTGAGACTGAAAGATATTCTCCAATCATAACAGTAATGAAAGCTGTTAATGTATTATAATATTGCAGGAGGGGCCGATGGTTACTGGGCTTCAGCCGTCGGATGCAGCAGACAGGCTGATAATATTCCAGGTAAGACAAATATTAGGGTGATTAATATTAGGTAAAACAATTAAGGCTGTAATATTAGCCACACGTTGACCGTAAAACCGTAGAGCATATAAGTGCATGGTGATGTACGTTCCCATACCTGTCATACTCGTGTGTGGTGCCCTGCAGTTCATGCTAACCCTCCCACACATTGCAGCAGACAGGCTGATAATATTCCATGTCGGACACTTAACTGCTGTAATATTAGCCACACATTGACCGTGAAACCGTAGAGCATATAAGTGCATGGTGATGTACGGTGTGTGTGTGGTGCCCTGCAGTTCATGCTAACCCTCCCACACATTGCAGCAGACAGGCTGATAATATTCCATGTCGGACACTTAACTGCTGTAATATTAGCCACACATTGACCGTGAAACCGTAGAGTGTATAAGTGCATACTAATTACTAATATG